TAGAATGAAGGACTTCCCCCTCGTCTATGCTTCGCTTGGATGTTCGTGTCTCTGATGACCCGGAAGATGAAGCTTCTGGCTGATCACAGCCGCTGGAAGACTCAAGCTGCAAAGACCTCTCTAGCACATCTACCGCTGGACGCTGCTGAATATTGACCCTGGAGCGTGTAGCTACTGCTTGAATGGACAATTGCTGTCTATGCTGTCTACATAAACAACCAAAATTATGAATATAAGTGCTTTTGTTCAGAAATGAGGTGCTGGATAGCTGCATAGGTGCCTGTCAAGGACGACACAACCGAGGACTCGACTGCTTCCGTTCCGAAACTTGGTGCTGCTTGCAACAAAGTGGAAGTTTATAATCTCGCTAGCCCTATATGAGATAGATACTTCTGTTTTCGGTGGAATTTTCTGAGGCCTTTCGTTAAAGGACGACGCGGGTGAACGTGGGCCATCCAAAGTGCGCGAGCCAGCCACGAGGGACAAATCTGATTGGGCAAAGCGCACGATCCAAACTCTGAATACAAAGCCTGGCAATGAATAGGACTGCATCAGGCGGTATTGTGTGCAACCGACCGTGTTGAAATCCTTATCTCCGAGTAAGGAAGGAATCTCCACTGCAGTCATTCAGTGGCTGAGATCGCTTCAGATCATGTCAATACATAGTCTCCCACTGCACTCCTACGTTCAGCATCATGCCATTCACCCCACACCAAGCATCACCCAATAAATTTGTGAATTGGTGGACGGCACAAAGGCTGTGTTCTGCATCCCCTGTGAACCGTCGAACACAAATAAGAGGACAGCCATGCACCCTTTGCTCCTCGAGAGTTTATATTGCAGCTACTTACCTGGAAGGCATGCACACGTTTGAAAATGCGTTCAAGATGCTGGGTAATCTGGCAGACGATGCTGCAGCAATGCACACGATGACCATCATAGAGGAGCAGGCGCCTGGGGCTGACACACTGGTCAGTTGCTGGTGCCTAACTGCGCCCTGCAGAGCTATGCTGGGCTGTCATATATTTGCACAACGCTATTGGACTGTTGCAAATTTCTATTGGCATGCAAGGCCGCCATGCTGGTCTCATTGAGAGGTCATGGATAGAAACAGGTCGATTATGCATGTCAAATGCGGAGTATTTTGTCCAATTGATTGACAATGAGGCGCTGCCTGTGCCACAGACCTACAGAGTCTTTGACTTTCTGCCAGCTGAGGCAACAGCGCCGATAACACTGGCGACACTTCTTACTGGAGGCCGCGTGAAGGGCCTGTTGCGTGAGAGACAACTAAGGCGGCTGCCACACCGGCGATGCTTGCTCATTGGCGAAGCCGATATGGCCGAGGTGCTCCACATCAAGTTGCTGCCTTCTTTTCAGCCATTGCTCACTCGTCATCAGCAGGCTTGCCAACCTGATGCTGACGCAAATTCCTGAATCCTTATTCTTTACACATCAGAGGAGGAAAATCTGAACCTGTACATATCATGCCTCTTTTCCTCCTACCATTGAGAGGATGAGGATGCTGTTGTTGTTGGTTACAGCCCGCTAATGGTGGGATGCCTGCATGGAATTGCCCAAATGTGAACACCCGCTATTGCGAATGCACCTTTGTGTGTTGAGCCCAGGCAAGCCAAGCAGCGCGAATTTTCAACAAGTCTTGGCCCTGCGAGCTGCAACTGCTAAACAACGACTGCCACAGCCACACAACAGCGCTTGTGCAGCACCTCACAGGCAGAAAACCAAAACTGGAAAAGCTGCGGCCCTTGCAACGTCGGCCCCTCTGGATGTGAGAAATGGTTGATGGTTGTAGTAGTGGCGCCGGTCATGGCGTCCCGTGACATAGGCAGACTACAGATGAGTGCTGGCAAAGTAAGGCATAATTCAGGGATAGGAAGAAAAGTGATGTCTCCACCCGGATGCCTTGGGGAAATACTCTTCAAGAACAAGAAGCGCAACCGATGGATCCTGGGCGTATAATAGCAAGCATTAAGACAGCCTCGGTGCCTTTCTCAATTAAAGCCAATGAATGAATCAGCATTTTACAGTCTCCAATGTCACTGAAGTTCCCTCAAAAACGATACCGGAGCTACTGCTATTTCTTGGAACAGTGGAGAATCCCTTTCACAAACTCCTTTTGCACACTTACAGCTCTGCAATCTGCCTCGAGCAGTTTGCCTTGCAGACTGACAGGTTGCTGCTGCATATGTGCTATGATGACATCAAGTGCTTCCCCTCCTCTCTGACTCTCAGCAACCCATGCGCGTTCCCTTCAAGCGGCAACAAGAGCATCTCTAAATCGCGGTGGCGGCTTCAGCATGGGAGCCAGCCGATTCAGCTCATCAATGTTGCCCAGCTGGCCACAGGCGGCCATCTCATCGTCACCCCTGCTGTCGCGCACCGTGCACACCACTCCGGCCGCCTTCAGCACCGCTTGGAAAGCCAGCACCTGCATATTCACACGGAAGAACTTAGTGCGCAAATTCCTGTAGTACCAACCCTTTGACGTGCAGGAACACATCCACAACTGGTCCACCACAGCCAGGACACTGCCGCGACTGGAACTCCTTTGCTCTCGTCTGCAATCATGCAGTGAACAGATGCAGGGCTTCCCACTTGCAATTCTTCCCCACACATTAGTGCACATTTTCAACTAAACTGACCCTTCCCACTTGCCAACGCAAATTAAGGAGTCAGTTGCTTTTGGAACCACCCCATAGTACATGCATGTGATTTCATGTGCTGGCACATGCTGAGCACCTGCTCCTGGGTTGATGCCTGGAAGAGGGTGCCAGCGTGAGGATTGAACAGGATCAGATTGACTTTGCACTCAATGGCGGCTGTGAGCTTGATCAAGCGCTCAGCGTCCTCCAGCGAGTCATTCACCCCACGCAGCATGACATACTCAAAGAGCACATGCCGCCCAGCGCGTGGCCGTAGCGCGGCGTTCCTGGGATATAGCTCCTCTAGAGCCCCCATGAGTTCTGCTAGAGGGTACCTGCACATGCCACCATGTCAGCAAGGCGTCAACCTACTAGCCTTTTTGCCCTGCATTTTAAGTTTCCTGATGTACGAGAGGAGCCGCCTCTGCGATCCAAGCCTATGCCTTTGCTTGAGCATTTCGAGGATTGCCAGAAGAAGGATGCTTTGTCTTTATATCCCTCTGAAAGCTCCTCGCCTAGACCTGCCTGCAGAAAAGTTATGGCTGCCCTGTCCAGACAGATGAGGAGATAAGGAGGGTTGCATGAAAGACCAAGGGAACAAAGGGCCACAAGCTGGGGCCTAGGAGGGCATTGGAGCAGCTCAGATGGATAGGTAACTTATGAAAAGCACAGTGGCAACCGTTGGCAATGCAATATACACGCAACATCTCTGCGCAGGCAGAAGTACTATCCGGGAGCCTAACAGGAACGCCATCGACTATATAATTGGGTTACTACAGCACCATGATTCGGGATAGGTCCCGGAAACAAACCTCATCTGCCTTCAGCTCCCATTGAGTTGGGCTTACATGATTGGGCGGTTTGGACAGGAATAGTTCCTAAAAGATTTTGCTCTAATTCCCTCAATAGGGGTCTTTTTGAATAAAAACCCAAATCCACCATCGCATGCAGGGAGGAAAATATCACAAAAAGGCCTCCCTTACCCTAAGCCTAAACCCTAACCCCCAACTCTAAAACCCCAATCGAAGTGTTTGAAAGATCTTTTCTGGTGCTGTTTGGGCGCGGGCGGTGGGTGCGCACCTGCGGTTGAGGGGCACAATCCAGCTGCGCACTTCGTCGGTGGTGGCGTGCAGCGAGACGGCCAGCTGAACGGCCGAGCGCGCCGCGAGCGCGCGCATCTGCGGCACCAGGCCGACAGTCGACACTGTCACTTTGTTCGGTGAGAAGCGCAGCCCCTGTGGGTGGCACATCACCTCCAACGCCGCCCCCACCGCCTCAAAATTGTGCAGCGGTTCGCCCATGCCCTGCAGTATTTTTTACGGGTTTACGCTTTTTCTAATAGGGTTTGGGGGTTGTTTAGGGTTTGTGAAAATAGTTGGATACAAGCACTCCCGTTGTTTTCACTCAGGATAATGTCTTGACAGAGGTTGTATCGGATGCAGAGCTGCTGCTAGTGCACGCTGGTGGGTATCCCTGAAGGAGCCCGATGGGCACATAACTTGTCAGTGTAATGAATACACTCACAAACAGCAACACACCAGTGTGAGACACCTCAACGTGTGGGCATCTGGGTTGAAGCACAGGCAACTGCAGGCATCAAGTTCAGACATGCATTGGCAACCCACAGCTGGTGGGTGCATGTAATCCCTTGGAGATCTGGCAGAAAATGAATGGGGAGGCACCATGAAGACGATGTTGCTGATGGGAGCCATCGGCGCAGCACCGGGCAGCTCTCCTGCTGCAACGCGCCTGTTGTGCTCTGCAACGTGCCGCCTTGCCTCCACCACCTGGGCAGACGTGCAGAGTGAGATCACCTGCTCCACGATTGAGCTGTAATGAGAGGGAGAGCAGTGCATTACAGCATCATCACACAACCTTCATTGTAGTCTTTGAAATCGCCTTACATCCATTGTTCCTCGAGTGGCAGTCATGCAAGGGCAGATGACCTCGTCGATAAACCCAGCTTTTACACTAGTCCCCCCTATATTGTGGTCTTGGACAGCAGCTGCACAAGGGATATTTTAAGGCTGATGCTTAAACCCTAAAACCCTGAACCCTAAACCACGGCGGGGCAAATATAAAGAGTAAATGCCAGGGGCATTACCTGCTCCACAATCTGGGCGGTGGACAGCTGCGCGCGCAGGCCCATGCGGCCGGTGAAGCAGAACTGGCAGTTCTGGGCGCAGCCCACCTGCGAAGACACGCACAGCGTTGTGCGCGGCCGCGACGCGCCCGGCCGCTCCACCGGGATTATCACCGCCTCCACGCCCGCGCCCGCAGCCTCTGGGGAATCCTGCACACACAGCTGCCCGCCTCCAGATTTTGTTGGCGCCAAAGGCAGATCTGTAGCGCAGCCTGGTAGCGCACCTGTTTTGGGAACAGGAAGTCACAGGTTCGAATCCTGGGTTGTGAACCCTTACGGGGTGAGTCTCAAGTGGGTCTGGACGGAGCAATCTCTCATCAGGTGGGCATAACCCCAGCAAAGGGTGGATGGTCATGCCTGCAAATCAAGGCTGCAGGGGATCCTGTTGAGGCAAGTTGGCCTGAACTGAATTGGCCTTCAACGCAGAATTTGCAGCTCTGCAGAGAGGAGAGGCTGCCCAGGCGGCCTCTTTCAGCAGGGCACTCCGCTTACACCAACGCTGGCAACCCATGCAAGATGGTGGAACCTGTGACATGTGGTGCAAAAGACCAGCATGTGGTTCCCTAAAGGGAGCCCATTCCGTTGCTAGACTTGTGTTGCCGTCAACATTGCAAGATTTCCCAGAAAATTACAATGCAATGCGAAGCCCAGAAACTGGGCGTGGAGCACACCTGCAAATCGAAGACCATCTTGCGCGTTCCATCGGCTGCTGTGTGCACGCTTCGAAGGCGCAGGCCGCCGTCCACTGTGATTCTGTCCCGCCACTGTTCCCTGAGAACATTGCCAGTCCATATTGAGGGCATCCATCCCAAAAAAACCAGCTACCTCGCACCGATATTATGCTCACAAACCTCCGCAATGTCCACATAAATGGGTCAGAGCCTACCTGAAGGCTGCACTCAGGCCGTCCTGCAAGTCTGCAGTGTCGTCCAAGGAGTGAACCCAGCCACCATCATAGTACATCCATCTCCACAGCTGCCTCGCTCGCTGTGGTCGTTCCCCTATGCGTAATTGCAGGAAGGATGTTTAGAGAGGCAGCACATGCCGTTGCATCTACTTCAAAAAATAGCTACTCGACGGGCACCACTAGCAGACACTGTAAGGGCCACTGCTGAAGACTCAATCCATGATATATTTGTCATTGAGGGGTGGAACACACCGATAGAGATGCACCACTGCTCAAGGTCTGGATATGTGAGGCTTTTGAGCATGAGCTGACCCCTGGCATTCAGCACACCCTTCCTAGCCAGGAAGGCTGGAGTGCTGCCCGCTGTCAAGCTCGAAGTACTGCATGGCTGATCATCTTCAACAAATAAGTACTCTGCCTCAGATAATTTTTCGGATCCAGTCGCCATCTCTTGAGCGTGCCTTCTCTGAACCAACCCCACCTTGGTAGATAATTTACTAAGCTCCTGCGCAGATGCGAAGATGTGAGTGCAGTCCCTTGAGTTCTACATGGTAAATATCCGATGTTGGATGTTGACTTGCCTGACATCCACCGGCAAATCGAGCCGTAGTATGCTGAGAGGGCAAGGAGACGTGCTGCAGGCATAGCCCACGAGCGGTTCTCAGGCACTGCGTCAATACTCGCTGGCCATGCATGACGGAGTTTTGTACTATTCTTCTATACTCCGACGCTCAAGGGCTCAGAGGGGCCAACTTCACAAAGGTGCAGATGTGCTTGTGGGCATCTCCAACTGCTATTCCCAAGGTTGCCCTTGTCACTCAGTAGCAGTGCGCCTTATGTGCAAAGTCAGAGTGAAGCTTATCAATGCCGCACCTCTACACAATTTTGGAGTTCTTGCGTCCGAACACTCACTCAGAAGTGTTCTTGCTGATGTGGCTTGTCGTCACGTGCAGCGGTGCGCTTTTCTTCCGTTTTCCTGGGAAATTAGGGAGGAGGCTTTTGGGGCATTATTAAACCGCATCGTCCCTCGTTAAATCATGTTCACTTACGAAGCGAATTCTGAGCACTTCAACGTTTTAATCGAGTTTGTATTGATTGATCAAAAAGAGAAGATCATACTTCGTTGACCTCCTGGACAGGATCTGAAACGATTCTACCAACGGATCTGTATTGCTCAGAGGATACTTTCAGACGATGTAGGATGTGACTATCGAACGTCTCTCCTGGCAATTGAGCTTGATTAAGACACCAAGATGAAGAGTTAGGCTGAGGTCTGTCAATGCATTGTGGCTTCTCAGTAGCAGGTAGATTGATCGTAATCTTGCTTGTTCAATTTACAAAACAGACCTGCCGCTCGGATGCGGTGCTCAGCAGGAGGGTGCCTAAAATCAAGGGCAGCTATGTACAGCGTCGTTGGATTCGGGCTGGCATCATCTCTGATTGTTGCACTGTACATGTTTCTGAATGGACAGCAGCACTCGCAGCTGCCACGATGCTGGCTGTTCGAGCCTGATGATGACGGCACTTGTGACAAGGTGGGCTCACCACCTTCACTATATGTCTCTCATGAATTCTCAGAGAGACCCGTGCTTGTAAGAGTCATAACTGCAAACAGGTGCTGCTTCATTTTCTTTCAGGGAAGTTTCCCTCATGTTTTCCTGGCAACTTTGGTCAACCGTAGAACATGAGGAACCAACATGTGCATGCAGCTCACAAGCGCTCTGAGCAGTTGTGGGAGCGGGGAGACAGTGGAGCAGAAGTGCTGCTCGCTGTCATCTGTCCTTGCGGCCAGGCGCTGCCACTGCCGGCTGGGAGTGCCGAGGCAGGCGAAGACCCAGCTGGAGCACATGCAGCACCGGTGCATGCACGCACACCGGGAGATCATCGAGCAGCAGATCTTCAACCAGCTGCCGCCGGGCGCCTCCCCTGTGGCAGCCACTGCCGGCGGCTTCCAGGAAGCTGCTAAGAACTTGGATCGGGAAGCTGCACCCGGCACCTGGGCGGACTTTGCCAAGGCATCCTCTGGGAGAGATGCCTCGGTGGAAGGGCACCTGGCAGACGACACCAGTTCGGCCGGTGATGATCTGGAGGTGGATGTAGAGGACAGCGAGGATGTGCATGGGGAGCCGACGTATTCAGTCTTTGGGAGCAGAGGCTTTGGGGGTCAGTCAGCGGGGCGGCCAGTGAAGCTGTTTGTGGGGGTACTGACGGCCGGCAAGAATGCTGACAGGCGGGCCGCCATAAGGGAATCCTGGGGATCGGATCGGCGCCTCCACCGGTGCGCATATCCCCAACACTGCCTGCTGCTGTGCACACCACCGGTCTCTGCGCATCGTCTCCTTTTCTCATCCCTCCTCATTCAATGATATCACCCAGCGAGCTGCCGTGAACGTGCATGTATTTGAGCCACATTGCTGCCTTCCAGCACATGCTGAAAACCGTGACTGACATGACAGTGTGTTTGCGGGAACACAGTAGGATCCGGGGCAGCTGCCAAGTGAGAGATGAGGCTGTCAAATTTGGTATGTTGTGGTGCAGGGTGATGTTCTTTTCGGCAAAGCCGGTGGATGAAGCGGTGTTTGATGCGCTGAGAAAGGAGGCAGCAGAGAAAGGCGACATTGTAGTGCTGCCGGGCATTTTTGAGCACTACGACAACATCACCCACCAGACGTTGGAGATTCTGCGCGCGGCCTCGATGGATCCTGTGGCCACGCACGCTCTCAAGGTGCATCCATGCACCGTCTATGTCAAAAGATGTAGCAGCAGCAGACAGTTAGGTCATTTTCCGCCAATCACTTGCTGTGGACTATTTCCTGTAGACAGAGACCATCATTGTTTTGCAGATTTCGGTGGGACATGAATCAATTGGATTGAATTAGGAACCTACCAAATGAATGGTTGACTTAGAATTGAGTGAATTATAGTGAATTGCAGATTCTTCATTCCATTTCATTTCATCAAGTGTAGCTGTGGTGCAGGTGGATGATGACAGCTATGTTCATGTGAACAACCTGATGGCGGTGATGGCGAGGGTACCGCAGAGGCGGCTGTTTTTGGGGCACATAGACCGGGAGTCAGGGGGACCCCACAGGGAGCCGTCCAGCCAGTGGCATGTGACCAAAGAGGAGTGGCCTACAGAGGTCTATCCTTACTGGGCGCATGGGGCAGGCTATGTGCTGTCCAAGGTGCGATTACTCTTCTGCTGTGCTGGGGAACTGCACTGGGGCATTTTTCATTCAAGAGAATGAGTCATATGGGCTACATATTGTGTCAGATGACAGCAAGTTGATGAGTAGGGCACTGTTGCTTGGCAGCATATCTGAGACAGACTTGCATGTGGTTACGAACAGCAACTGCCTATGTGCATGATTGTGGCGCTCGCACGCTCTTGATTGTTAGTACTGTATCTCTTGATCTTATGATTGCGGCATCAATGAAGTTCCTGCACTGCTGCAGGATTTGGTGAGGGAGGTGGCTTCGGGGGCGGCACTGAAAACCAACAACCACCGCATCTTCAAGCTGGAAGATGTGGCGATGGGGTCCTGGATAGAGTACATCGCCAAGGAGAAGGGCTGGGCCGTGCAGTATGTAAGCCACGGCGGTTTCAATTTCATGGGGTGTAACCCGAGCGATCTGGTCTCGCACTACATCAAGCCGGAGCAGGCGCGGTGCATGCACCAGCAGCAGGACAGAACCTGCTGCACGCGCATGCGAAGCCGGACAAGCCGCCGCAGAAGAAATGGGCAGCTGTTCCGATTCTTCTTCTTGTGACGGCTGCCATTTTGCCAGGGCTGGGTTGTCACACAGCGTTGCCCTTTTATGATGGGACAGGCATTCACTTATCTTGCGCACACATGACAATCTCTTGTATCAACAAATATGCTGATGCTGCAGGATATAGTAATGTCTTGAAACCTGAAAAGCTTCATACCATCATTCTTGGCAACTGGGATGCCTAGAACATGGAGAGTGATGTCCTGCGGCTGCCTCCTTTCTCTAATGCTCATGCACAGAAAGCAGCAGTACCAGGAATGCAGCTTGGAGAGACCTCATGTAAAATGCTGTACGATGCAATGCACGCACGAAAATTCCAAAAACAAGCAAGCTGCGCGGTCCTGGGGAGCACTAGGCAGAAAGCAGCGACACATCGCAGTCGTGCTGCATCCTCATAAACATGCCATGGTGCTGCGAACATTCCATTGAGCCCACCTTGACAAGTGTGAAAGTGTCCAGAGATCAATGCTGGCTGGCACATGCTCATACAGTGCTTCAGCACAACAGCAGGGCACGACCCCGGGGCAAGTCAGCCCCCTGGACCGCTCCGAGAGGTCACCACCCGGCATCAAGCACTGGTTTTCAGGAA